ACCAGCCAAACTTTCCAGTCTCTCGGGTCATTCTATGAAACCTCAGACGGCTTGACATGACAACTCACCGAACAACGGGCGCAATGTCAACGCTTTCACCTAACTGTGGCAACAAAACCCCAGACTCTGAGACATTCATCACTCGTGTCTTGCAAGTAAAGGCTATAAACATGTATCCTGGTGCAACCAACGCTTTGCAGGCTCGTTCATCCTTTTGATATTTCAAACCCTTTGTTGGCAAAGCTAAGAGACAGGGCATGACCAACAGCCATTTGACTCTTAGATAGCGCCCGCAGAGCTGCACATATCCTATTCCAACCTTCAAACCCTTAGTGGTTTTCTACTCCTGGTCATATTCTTGTCCAGTCGGGTATAGCATATGCGAACTCCGAACTGTGCAGCCTATTGTGTAGTTATCCTGCCACACATGATACATCTATGGCCTGAGATATGATTTCTCAGGTAGCACGACTGGAGAGCTGCGCACGACATGTCAGACTTATTTATGCGCCAATCAAATGTTCAAGCACGTCGTATCTATACCATACCATGATATACATCCCTAGAAGGTGAAGAGACTATGGCCAAAGCTCTTTTGTGAATTCTACATCTAGACAGGCTGTGTTTCTTGTATCCTCTGAGTGATATGCGAGTGAACTTGTAACCGCTACTTGTAGTTAATCAACAAATGTGTTGACTTTGTATTAATGCTCCAATAAGCACACGCCATCTAAAATCACATTATTGTTTCTATTTTATTTCGCCTCTTCCCACTTTCATCTCAACCAGACGCCGGCGTGAAGTTCACTCCAGCTTTTGTCCCTGTCTCCCGACAAACGTCTTCATTCCCCGATCCACGCCCGCAACCCAACGTGCAATGGTTTGCACTCCAACTGGTAAAACATTAAGCCAGTCTACCCATCGAGCATACAAGGGCATCGCAACAGTAGCGCCCTTTCCGCTATCGATAGCCGCGACAATCTCCTTCGTAACATCCACGGGCTCAACGACAGGTGCAATAAAGGAGTTGGGCGTCTGTACCCCATAGAATAGCGGCGTGCTCACTTGGCCGGGAGTTACAAGCACAGTTCGGATTTCGGGATGGCTTTCTCGTAGCTCGGCCGTTAGGGAGCGGTGCAGAGCTGTAAGGCCGGCCTTTGCGGCGGCGTAGTCGGTTAATTGTGCAGCGCCGACTGTTCCAATGACTGAGGAAACGTTGACTATAGTACCACAATTTCCACCACGGATGATAGCAGGTAGGAAAGTCTTTAGGCAGTAGAAGGGTCCAAGAAGGTTGGTTGTGAGACTCTTGTCGATTTCGTCCATGGAGAGATCCAAGAGAGTCTTGCCAATAACAATAGCAGCGTTGTTAATAAGTACGGTTGGCGTACCAAGCTGAGGTATGGGTTAGCAACGATTGCGCCGTCTTGGTAAACTTGCCAACTTACATCCTTCTCGATCTGGAGGGCAACTTTGGCGACCTGCTCCTTGTCACCAACATCACACTTGTAGTACGTAACACCTCTGGACTCCGTGTTCTCCATCTCATTCACGTCCAACACCGCCACTGTCGCGCCTCGCATGCCATACACCTCAGCAATGAGCAGACCCAGCCCGCTAGCACCTCCAGTGATGACGATAACCTCCTCGCTCAGATCCACTTCACGTGGGATGCCATGAGCGATGCGCTGGTTGATCACATTGGCCATCCAGAAAAGCGTGATTATGGTAGCCCACGCAATGGCGGCCACCATAGGCGGGGCCTCCCACTTCACCGTCTGCGCGCGGAAGCACAGTGGAATAATCCAGCAGACAAAAGGGTGCAGAAGAGTTGTGTTGAGGACCTTGAGGACGAGGTCAATGGATAGCGGCGCAAACCATGATTCGCGCTGGGGAGGCCGCGGGTATTGAGCGGGCATGATGTGAGATTAGAGGGATGTAGACGCAAATTAGATGATTAAGCTGAGTGTTTGCAGAACAGTTGAAAGAATGTGAAAGTAAAGATCCAAATTTTTGAATTCAAGAAGAAGAAGAAAAATAAAAGGCCAGAGTGGTGAGAGTTGAATTCTACGTTAATTAGTTAGCATGTGGCAGTGAAACCATATGCGTCTCTAAGCGCCCCCTCCAAACAAATCCCTGTCATTCATTACCATGAACCCACGTCAAGTCAAGAGCCTCTATTGGCAAAGGGGTAAAATCGACAACAGGCGATGAACCAGACTATTGGTAGAAACACCTCGAATGTGATTTTAGACTAGCCAAGTCGTTTCGGATTTGTTTATAAGACCGCAAAATTCGTCTGAAGCTCAATCCAGGCACTTCCTGAAGTTTATGATGGAGACTCGCCTAGAGGCTTGGCTCAAACTCATCATGTTACATTTGAATAGTAGAGTAAGTTTACAACTATGGTACAGTCCACCAGCGCCGGTCTATATGCAAATATCATCATCATGCTCATCGTACGTTGGCCATTTTAAGCATCCCCTCCTCCAGATCGAGGAGTATAAGTACCCTTGGATCGAGGAGTATTGGTACCTTTCCTCTCTCGTGTAACCCTTGGGGCATAAGCACCCTCAGGGGCCGAAGTCCGCTTGACCCGAGGACTATAACCTCGCTTGATCTCCCAATCGTCCTTTTCAGCCATAGTCTTGTTTCTCTGGACCGCCTCCTTCTTCCAGTCATGGTAACTAGGATCTCGCACAATACCCTCACGTCGCCATTTCTGTGGAGGCTTAATACCCAAGGCAGCTCGCGACTCCCAAACGTCCTTTCCGCGACGGAACCAGCGCTCCTGTCGTGACTCCTCCTCTACTGCGTTGGGCTGCCATTTACTCTTCAAGATACGACGAATTGCCTCTGGTGTCACCTCGAACTTTTCTGCGAGGGCCTCTGTCGTGTAGACGTCGGGGAATTGAGCGTTGAGGGCTCGGATGCCGGCCAGGGCGTCGGGTGAGAGACGCTTTCGCGGTCTCCAGCCCTCGGGGAACTTTTCCTTGAGAGCTGCTTTTTGAGCTTTCCAGTAGGCTGCTCCAGATTGTGGTTGGTTAGAGGAAGGGCCTTTGATACGTGGTTTCTTGGTTTCTGCCGCTTTGTCGAATGCGCCAAAAGTGCCTGAAGCATTGAAATTATTCTCCCCACGATTATATGCCGTTCGTACTTTTCTTTCTAGTCTGTCCTCTCTTCGCTTTGGGGCTTTTTCGCTAGTGCTTGGTATAGCTTTCCAAGTATCCGGAGCCTCAACAGTGGCGGTAGATTGTTCTTCTCTCACTTGAGGTGTCTCGTCTGGATCTTTGGAAGAGTTGTCATCCATTACCTCGATTTCTTTAGCAGCTTCTGCGCCAGAAGCATCTTGACTGAGATTTTTCGAAAAGTGTAGAGATCGAGCTTGTCGTGCAAAGGTGAAGTTGTTCTGTTGAAGTGCCGGACGGGTACGGATTGGAAGGCGAACAAGCGAGGGTGAAGCCTCGAGTCTGTGAACTTGAGATAATCCCTGAACGAATATTTTCAAGGGCGTGACTCGACATGTACAACTCATCATGACAAAGTGAGCCAGCAGCCGCAGATCAAGAGAATGAATGAATGCTAAGAAAAGTTAAACCAAATTCGAGCCACAGGCAAAAGAGGCTTTCCATGATGGATCAAGGGTCCGAAGGTGGGGCCGTGAAAATCGGAGATTGTCCGGATTTTCATTGAGCCGATTTACAGTGCTTTACCAGCTACCCAGTACCGGCATCAAAGATACGACACTCAGCAAAATAAGTTACAAATCTAAATCTAAATCTTCAATGTCTATTCACTTTTTACAATTTGAAGACCCAATGAACGTTTCTTAGTTATCACTTTTGAAAATCACTCAAGTCTGTGAGTACTAAATAAAATACGCATGCTACCTGTGACAGCTGTCATTCATCTAGACTCATACACAATCTATCAACTATATAGTCGTCATCCTCTTTTAAAGAACAACACTACTCATATGCTGGCATTGTCAGACCACCGGAATGGTATAAAATTCCGGTTCTGGCAATCGCAACTCGTCACCGCTGATCTACATAAATGATGTCGTTTCGATGTCGTGGTAATCGAACATCCGTTAGAGGCTAGTGGGTGGTAAAAAAGTTGGCCTTCTTAGTCTTAGGGTATAAAAATAAGCAGTCTAAGAGCCAAGTTCAAGGAGCATAAAATGATCTATTAATTTCGTCTCTTATGCTGCCAGCGGTCAGTGTTTCTGATACCCTGAGGAAGTGGGCAGGGTTGTGCACCATACGGAAGTCGAATAAACCTTTCCTCGACCACACTGATGCCTTCCCTGGTAGACTACAAATGCCAAGTTGGCGTGTCAGACTTTTATTTATGGGATTGGTTCGGAAGTCTACCCAGCTCGCTAAACAGCGGGATGACAAAAGAGGTAAGTGGTTAGTGACCACCCATGAGGAGTTGACTGTCTAGGTACCAGTTTCTCATCACGATCCCAGTTTCAAGAACATGTCTAAGATGATGGGATTTTTACTTTTGATTCGTATTAGCAAACTATACTTGTTTGGTGTTTAAGCTAAGATGAAGTGCAATGCATGTGCGAGACTTGGCAGTTGTCAGGATAGGTGCTTCATGATCCTCCACACTGCCTCTAGTCTTTATTCGACAACCCTCAGGAATGTTTTCGTTGGAATTTATATGTATGTGATTTATACTGGTTACAACTATCTGAGAGCAATCGTGATGGCTTGTCGGCTTCTTTGTTCCGCTTCTTCATGCACCAACAACATGCCAATTCAGGTGGCAGGGAAGTAGTTCATGATGCTGTGGCACTATTTGTCAAGGAGTTGGATTGTTCAGAGTGTTCACTACCAACAAGTCTTCATCGTCATGTATCGGATCATGTTCGTCATCAGTTTGTCAAGGCCTTTCTCTTATAGAAGGGAATCTTGCTTTTAACAGTCTGTCTGTCCTTTGCTATGGGCGCCAATTCTTGTTTTGCTCAATATACCCACATCGATATCATGGATCATTACTACTCCAAAGATTTCACCGACGCGAGAGACGTCTGGGGTCACAAGTTTAACTGGACTTGCAATCATCAAACTGGGCCAGAAATTAACCATCTGTTGTATTCATACGACAAGCTAGCTACAGATGCCTTGGATCGGTTGGACTACTTCTCTCCGCCTAGTTCCAAAGGGTGGAAGTGTCCCCATGGCTCAGGCCCAGGACAAAGAGACCTTTATGAGCTTTTGAGGAAACATGCCAATTCAGATCAAGTCTTGGGTCAGCTATGGAGAGAAACCTCTACAGTTCCTGAATGGGTTGACTGGGAGCAGATCGAGCGGGGACAGCAGGTGGTGTATCAGTTTAGCGGCCAGATTCTCTTTGGGGTCAGCCATGACTATTTCTTCTTCTTGATAATGCAGCATCTCGCTAACAATCTTAAAGCTCTTGTATCAGTCACTTTTGGGCGGAATGGGCGCATACCGAGTCGTCGAGACTCTTTCTCGAACAGGAGGTTTCGGTGTCAACGTCACTAGACGCCGCCTCTTGGAAACTCTGCAGCATTTTATGGAAGTTGTCGAAGACATTGACTCAATAAAACCTGGTGGCAAGGGGTACATATCCTCAGTGCGAGTGAGGCTCTTGCACGCCTCAGTCAGAAGACGACTTATGCAACTCGAACAACGAAATCCAGGATACTTTGATATGGAGAAGTGGGGAGTGCCCATCAACGACTTACACACGATCGGCACTATTGCAGTGTACTCTGTGGCCATTGTTTTCGTTGCTCTTCCTCGACAAGGAATCTATCTGAGCAGCCAGCAAACTGCTGATTACATCGCTTTATGGCGATATGTCGGATATCTTCTAGGAACACCGACGGACTGGATGGCCACACCAGAACGAGCCAAGGTTCTATGGGAGTCCATCTCAGTATCTGAAGTGGCCCCGTCAGCAAACTCACAGATTCTCGCAAACAATATCCTAACAGCAGAAGCTCGAGCTCCACCACTGAATCTGCCCCGAGAGGTTCTTGCAGCCCACGCGTATAAGCTTAATGGGGATCAGCTGGCTGGCGCACTTGGAATTGAAAAGCCAGGCTGGCGCTTCCGTGCTGTTGTGTGGCTCCAGTGTGTTTTCTTCTTCTTCCTGAGTTACAGTTATCCCTGGCTGCCGACTCGTATGCAAAAAGAACGAGAACGCGTACGTATACCTTCCAGGTCCCCGATCAGTCAGCCTGTTTTGATGTTATATTCAGTCTCATCCCCAATTGTGACCATAGCAACTAACACACACCCAACAGAAATTCAAATACTTTGCCAACTTTATGATTCACAACACAAAAGCGGGCGGCCTGGACAAATCAAGCATATTTGAATTCCAGTATCTGCCACGTATCGGCATGCTTACAGAGTTGGGCATAGGTGCGGAACAAGAGGCGAAACTGTCAGGCTCAGATAATAACTCAAAAGTCTCAATCGCCTTAAAGAAGGCAGTGCTTGTAGTTGGGTCAGTTGCTGGGGCCATGGCGGCGGTGAGCCTCATTAGATTCGTAGGCGTATTGAGTGTACCGCGCCATCTGTTGTCGGCTGTCTTGGCGCAGCAAAGCCTCGTCTGGGCCGATTAGTATCAGATGTTGATCGCTTGACTCGCGGTTTTGTTTGCAAAGTAGTTCACTTAAGGCACGATTGAAAATTGTCAAGTTGGATGCGTTATGGTATAATTCTGTGTTCAGAACTAGTATTAATCAACTAGCTATAGTATACAACTGTGCCAGCCGAGCAAATGCCAACTATATGGCGCATTTAACTCGATGTGTTTCCATAATAATAAACCGATGAAAAATGTATTTTACCAACTCCTGTAGTGTCCATGCTTAAGAGGATGAAATGCTCCGTTGTAGCCCTAGGTAGACAGACAGTTCAATCATGCCATCCCCAACCCCCAATCCCGTAATGTGTACCCTTAAACGCCAAAGTAAAAGCAACAATGTTCATTGATCTGTGTCCAGCTTAGGCGTGGTGCATCAGCTCGACAGGAGGTCGAGCAGTATGCGCCATGATGGGTTTGGATTGCTCCACAGGGCTGTACTCGATAGGCTCATCTGTCATGTCATCAACAATGACAGCGGGCATACTGCTCTTGTCTTCGGGCTTGTAGATCAGAGTGGAAGAGCGAGAGCGTGTGCGACCTGGAAGAGCAGAGTCGTGGGGAGTCACAGGCGAGTTCTGGTCCTCGTCCATAGGTCCGGGGCGGTGGTGCAACTTAGCGAGGGCTTCGGCGAGATCCTCAGCGTGAACCAGCTTGTTGGGCGCATCCTCCATGCGCATCTCCCAACCGTGGGGAGGGCTAGGTGGGGGAGAGATGAAGAAGAGCTTGCCGGCGTCAGGAAGGGCGAGATGCTCATCGCGCTTGTCGACAGGAGTGGGCATGCCAAAGTAGACGCGGCACTGCTGGCCCATGATAGCCTCGTTATCCCAGACCTGGCGGACGGCAATGGCGGCCTGCTCGTCAAAGAAGGAGACGACGATGCGACGGAAGGATTTTAGGGGCGCAAAAGCGTGGATGGGAGCGGAGTGGGTGATGAGGTCGCGGATGACCTCAAGGTTCTCGGGGAGGAAGATGGCTAGGTCGGTGAGGTTGGTGAAGAGAAGAGTGTTTGATGGAGGTGTAGGCGGGGTCATGGCGGGAAGGTTAGAGAGATCGAGAGAAAGGTTTGATCGGTTTGACCGGCGCGAGGCGGAAGAGGCAGATCGTGAGTGTTGCGGTGAGGTCTCCATTTTGAATGTGGTTGTGATTGTAAAATGGAAGGTGGATAGAGCAGCAGTTGTTGGCTGGCTCTAAATGTATATAGTAGGAGGTAGTGTAGATATTATGGAAAGTGTAGGATCTGCCGGGTGATCCTGTCGATCTTTTTGTTGTTGTTTATGATATTATCCGTGAGAAGACTGTATAACTGATTGTTTCTTGCTGTCTGTGTCTGAGTGAGTTGGGACGATAGAAACAAAATGTGCGAACTGGGTGGCTGTTATGTACTAGAAGTATTTCCATCATATTCTCCAAGCGCTGCAACACGACGACTACCTCTAAGCCTCTCGGCGGCTGGGGACTTTGCTACTCGTGCACTATGATCCAGTGGCCACGTACAGAGTAGAGCGGGCCCCAAACAGGGCTAGCGGTACCTAGACTACAGGGGTTCCACTCCACTGTTCTTGGAGGCCCGGGGCAGTGCATCTGCAAGGTCCCCATTCTTTTGTTTTGTCAGCGAATGGGGCGTCATTTGTTGATTGGAAACCTCCCTACACGGATATGGCGATGGCGATTCCTTGGGTCCTTGGTCTGGGGCCAGAACCTTAAGCTTTTTTCCCTTCTTCTTACTGTTTTACGACTACCTCGGACTAGATTTTTTGTTGAGGAGATTTAGGAAGGCTGTGTTTGATAATCTAAGGGGTTCAGAAATGCCAATGTGGTTCTCGACTCATGTTCCGTCTCCATAATATTATAGTTTGTCATGCCAGGAACAGTTCTCGACTACCCGTACCTTGGCTGAGTAAACTCTATCAAGTCATGCTTTGGAGGCAACACGGAGAGAGTATCAACTCTGACTTGTCATGTTGTCGCATCACACACACAGCCTTGGTGTATCAAATTTGGCATGTCTCAAAATCTCATCTTCAAACCCGATTCAAGCCATTTACTGTTTTACCGCTCATGGATCGCCCATCAAGAACCAATCCCTTATTGGGGTTTGACACACTCACCCTTGTGAAGCTGCATGACACTAATGCAATGTATCAACGTCCATACTTTTACTATCAAAGGGACTGCATGGTTTTCTTTGAAAGGACTTACATTCTTGTTGTTTGTGTCTTTGACATGTACCCATTGCCTATGCCTCCCGGCTCTAATACACAACTTCTTCAAGCTGGAATGAACAACAACTACCGCAATTCTATGAGAATACTATCTGTCCCAACTACCCAGATAGACGTACTCCCAGGATTCCTATCTAACCGCAAGGATCCCCCACAACTGCAAATCAGGCGCAGCCAGTCACAGCTCACAAACACTCTCTAAACTCCGAAGGGGGCTGTGCAAGAGGAGATGAGAGAAACAATAACAAAACATTCCCATCCTGCCGCCTCCGAACAACCTTAGTTCATCTCTGTCCGAGACTCCCGAATACCTAACCTAGCTTGTGTTTTGTTGTCCTGTGATGTCCTAAGCTTATCCGATGTCCGTGCCAGTTTCTAAGCCTTCAATCTCTTTCCGGACTGTATCAAAAGCTTCAGCTTCTGTCCAGTGGCTATACAGCCGTATCCTCTTTAACGAGATTGTGGTAGACACCCGCCCTCGTACTAGACCAAACTAGGAGAGTAGTGTTGGGGGATTGGGTCTTCCCGAAGCCGATAGACTAACGATAGCCCCAGCTTCGGAATATGGAGTATTCTTTACCGAGCGGGTCCTTGTGAGTGAGGCCTTGGCTATCCTTCGTGAGTATCATCAATGTCGTCACTTTTGCCAACTCTGCAACATCCACATCTTGATATGTGCGAAGGAGGCAACTTATCTGGACGTTGAGTCGTGGGACTACTCCCCAGGCCGAGAAACTTGCCTTTGAACAAGTGAATTCCATGCGCCTCAAGCCAACATGGCAATGCTCGCCTTGACATTATTGATAACATCCTAAATCATAGCAATACACTTACCTTAATCGACCTTAGCGGCACAGCATTGCTAAGCTTTACATCCCTATATTCCCTGCCTTTAGCAGTGACATGCAGAAAACAGAGACCCTGCACAGTAGAACGCTAAGTAAAGTCGAAACAGTTATGCTATACCTTCCCAACGCGGAAGCCAATAGTTAGCACCGTAAAGTACTTTTTACGATATTCGATATATTGTCTGTTATCTAGCGGACCTGCAAGTTAAAATCTCGACATTGAGGGCCTAACATTCAGTATATTGCCCGTTAAACATGGGTAGTGCCAATTTAACAGGTGGGTACTTAGTATCACAACACGTTAAAAGCCCATCTACAGTGTATGCTCACTATAGAGCATATCTAGACTTTGTATTGGTTAATAAAGCAAGCCAAATCATATTCCACCGTCAGTTACTTCCTATAGGTACTAGTGAAGTAAACTCTCAGTATCGAGGTCACTCTGTATGCTAAGATTTGCATTCAATAAAATAACTGGAAACTAACGCCACGCATGGACCCAACGCCACAACACGCAAGCCACTCCTATAACCCCTGTCCTGTCTCGTCTCATCTCGATACCGCCCCATCGGGAGGCAGCTCACTTTAATGCAAGGGCCAAACGTGGCTCAGATGAAAAACAACGTCACTCAAGCAAAGCCATTGAATGATTCTTCCAGCATGATATCATGTGGCTTAGCCATTGACATTGTCTATGCTCCATTGCGGGAATTAAGGTCATCCATCATTTGACTGATGGCGCAGCGACACTCATACACTATCACAACTTGCTTGCGAGCCTACGCTATTGAGTACAGCCGATGGTAATGTAATTTGACTCAGTACGTCAGAGAGCTCAGCCCGCGAACACAAGGTCTTCATGCCGATTCTTGCATTCAAGGCACTATGCAATACGACTAGTATACATCAATATATTACACAGCCTCAAGTCCCGTTAAGGATTTGGGTCCAGGTTACCATGTGAAGCTGATCATGAGTTCCACACGTTAGATCAGCCTGACCGATCTACGCTCACTTCGAGCTTAACCTATCGAAGCTCAACACCCAGCTCCTTGACCAGAGCTTGACGAACATTTTCATGGAAAGCCACAGCCTCATCGTTAGTCAGAGTCCGCTCCAGACTACGGTATACGATGCGGTACGCCATGCTCTTGCGTCCCGTTTTGGGGTGAGTAAACTCGTCAATCAGCCGAACATCCTCAACCACATCACCTGCCACGTTGCGGACGATTTCCATCACATCGTTTTCATGGAATGTTCCTTTAGTGTTGCCACCCGCTGCTGTCGTCGAGCTGAGCCAAAAAGACACGTCCTTGGGGCAGGGAGGGTACTTGGAAAATGGGACAAAACGCTTGAGGTTGTCAAGGTTGTCGGTAACGCCTTCAAACTGCGACAGGAAGCGCTTGTCTTTTGACCAGAATAGGCGAATATCTGGGATCTTGAACAGCAGCATTGCAATGCGATCAATACCAATACCAAACGCCCAACCCAATTGGTTTGGTACGCCAGCATTAATGTAGATATCCTGGTTGACAACACCACATCCTAGAACTTCAAGCCAGTCTCCGGCATAATAGACTTCCAGCTCCCAAGAGGGACTGGTGAAGGGGAAGTAAGCCTCAACCCATCGCATCTGGAGCGGCTCATCCACAAAGTTGGGGTCCTCCTTGAGCGCAGTAGCCTTGGCTCGAGAAAAGATGTCGACGACCATGTTTTCTAACGACCTCTTGAGATGAGCGCCAATGGCCTCGGCCTCAGCAGCCGAGTGGTGCGCATCTTGAAGAGGATTGCGCTCAGGGTGCATAGCAGGGTTAGGGTCGTCCACTTTGACTCCATGAACGGGCAGCTTTTCAAAGTCCTTCCATACAGTTGCGGCAACATCGCCGTTCGCAACCTTGGAGCGG